GGCTCCATGACACTTTTGACCCGGAATCCTGCGAGTGGTGTTCCTTGCTTGGACTCCAATTCACTCTGTCTACTGAGATTGATATTTGGGTGCAGGCAGCTTCAGCATTGCATGTGGGTTTAGGTTGCTGCAATACACGAGGTTGGTTGCCTTCCTGGATGCCCCGCAGCTGCCCCGCTTTGGTTATAGGGACCCGGACTTTGGGGGGGGGGTGTTAGTCTCCTTGACTTTGGTTTTGTCCGTGCCCCCTAGTCCTTTCCCTGCTGTAGTTCATCCTGTTCCCCCCCCCCTCTCCCAGCTCCCAAACGTTTGAGGGTTTTGAAGTAAGGGCAGAATTTGCCTGGTGGTAAAACTCGGGTAGTTTTGGGGATTGCCCCCTTCCGGTTCGACTGCAGAGGCATTCGAGCCTGTTCCTCCTGCCAGAGCTTTTGGGTTGCGCCAGTGGGCCCCTTTCATCCCTGCCTTTTCTCCAGAGGCAAAGGGTTTGGAGGACTGGTCGGCACCGGGTCCTGTCATGGAGGATCCCAGAGCTAGGGAGGAATTGACTTGGGGGGGGGGGGGGCTTGAGCCTCGTTTGACCCTGCTCAGGTGTTGGTACCCTTGGCGTGGGGCTTTTTGTGTTGGGGGGAGTGGTTTTCCTATCTTCCTTCCCTGTACGATTTTGATATGAGTTTGACTCCTTTCCTGGGTTCGGTTCCGGGTTCCCTCCTTCTGGAGGTTTTCGGCTTTTCGCATCCCACGGAGGGAAGTGTGGGAGGCTCTTGCAGCTTACCTCCTGTGAGACCCTGATTACGCCTCGATAATGGATCCTTCTTTTGAGTTTGGTTCTTCTTTTCCTTACTGGACGGGTTAAGAGGTGCCAGAGTCTTCCTGGCTGGTAGACCGCCCCTTGTTTTTGTTGGGGGCTTGGCAATCGTTCTGTTAGACCCGCACGCTTGAATGGCGGGAGTTGACTATGGTCATTCAGGTTTACCTGGGGGGGGCGGGTTTGAGCACCTCAATGCGTGCTTATTCACCCCCGTCCTTCCTCGTGATGTCGGCCAAGTGCAGGTTCCCTCCCTTTTTGCATCTCTAGTGGCCAAGGATTTGCGCCCGTGGGCATTTGGCTTCGGTCTTGCGTTTCTTTTCCCTGCTGGCGCTGTCTTCGGACTGGCTCGAGGAGGATGTGGGGGGAGCTGGGTTCCGAGCCGGTTTCCAGTGCGCTTGTCTTGGCAGCTCGGGTGTTGGCTGCCTTGTTAAAGTTGTATGCGCTGATTCTGAAGGAGGCAGTGTCTCAGTTTTTTGTTTCTCGCCTCGCGTGTCGACAGGCGGTGCTCGTCCACTCTTTGGAATCTACTTGGGCTTTGGCTCTTAGATTTTCATCCCCATTTTGTCTGTTGATGTTTGCTGAGTCTGCAGTGGTGCATTTTCTGCAGGTGGCTTCGTCTAGTTGCCAGCCTATGTTGAACCTGTTGGTTCTTCAGGTGGCCTTGGTGGTCCTGCCCGGAAGGGTTGTGCCAGGGCTCGGGGTTCCTTTGGTTGTCGTAAGCCAGTAGTGCCAGATTCGGGGCCAGCTCCTCCTGCAGTGCCATGGCATCTGGTCGATCTCCTCCTTCGGGGAGATTGGGACTGGCAGGGCAGGCCTCTTCCCATGTGCTCTGTCTGGTCATCCTGGAGTGGGTTCGCTTGGGCGTGGGCAAAATGACGGTGTCCTTCAGATGGGCTTCCCGTCTGTTTTCAGTTCCGAAGCGGGACTGTGCAGATCTGCGATTCATTCTGGACTTGTCCCGTCTGAACCCCTGGGTCTTTTGCCCCTCCTTTCGGATGGCTGCTCTGTCTCAGGTCCAGCTGTTTTTGAGCCAGGTGCTTGAATGGTGTGTCTGGACCTCCGGGACTCATATTGGCACATCCTCATTCACCCGGGTTTAGGGACTGGCTCGGTTTCGTCGTGGGGCGACAGGCTTACCGCCTCCATTGCCTTCCATTCGGTTTGAAACTGGGACCTTGCGTTTTCACATGCCTTACCTGGGTTGTGGCGATCCGTTTGCCTCTGTCAAGGGCCCTGGTTCTGACTTACCTCGATGACTGGCTCGTCTGGGCTCTCAGCCAGTCCGCATGTCTGCTCACCAGGAATTTGGTTATTTTCAAGCTCGCCGGGTTTGGGTTCTTGGTGAATTGGAGGAAGTCTCCATTTGGTTTCCTCTCAGGTTCGGACTTGGCTGGGTTTTGTGTTGGACTCTCGGACTGCTTCCTTCTCTCTCTCTCTCGCGGCGTTGTTGTGGCTGCAGTCCCGCCTTCGACTGTTCATGCAGCTGTGCGGGAGTCTGAATTTTTCCATTCTGGTCTATACATTAGGTCAGATCTGGCTACAGTGGTTGTTCTGGTTACTTCGGGGACATCCCTTCCACCGCTTTCGCGATCGCAGGGTTCGGATCCCAGGGGCCTTGTGTCGTCTGCTGCATTGCTGGCTTCCTTGCTGGCTGGGGTTTTGTGACCAGTGCTCACCAGGACAGCCAGGGTCAATGGGATCCGTCCTTCCATTGGGCCTCGCAGCATGGCACGGGAGTTTGTGGCATTAGCTTCAGAGAGTTCGTGTCACGAGCGACACAAACTCTCTGAATGGAGCAATGATCTAGCTCCATTCGGACTGCTCCCCTGTGGTTCCTTGTCTGAACCACGGGGGTTCGATACAGTCGTTGGCTCTTTGGGGCTGGTCGCGTCTGGTAACTCGTCTGCTGAGTTCTCAGGGTTTAGCTCTCCTGGCTGTTCACGTTCAGGGGGTGTCAAATGTCCTGGCGGATGGCCTGTCTCGGTTCATTCCCCTTTCCACAGAACGGACGATCAACGCAGACTCGCTCAGTTGGCTCTGCCGGATGTACGGGCGCCCGGAGGTGGACCTCTTCGCATCAGTGTGGTCGAAGCATCTTCAAGTGTATGTGGCACCTTTTCCTGACTGCGAGGCCATCAGGGTCGATGCATTTCGGCTGGACTGGTTGAGGTGGGGTTACCTGTACATCTTCCCACCGGTTTGGTTGTTGCCATGGGTCCTGGCTCACTTGGAGACTTACCAGGGAAGAATAGTCCTGTTGGCCCCTTGGTGGCCTGCCCAGCCCAGGTTTCAGGCTCTGATTGCTCGATGTCTAAATCCGAGGGTCTTCCTGCAGCTTTGCCTTTTTCAGCAGATCAGTCCGGTACAGTACATGGCTGGTTCGATCTTCTCCTCGAGTCTTCGCGTCTGGCCTTTTTGACAGATTTATTATCACTTGTGTGGTAATCGGGTGGCTACGTTATTGGTGTCCCACCTACGAATTTTGTCTCGATGGCAGTATGAAGTTTCCTGGTGGTCCTTTCCACACTTTGTGTCTTTGTAGGTTGTCTTTGATTTCTAATCAGGTTGTTTTGTCCTCTCTCTCTCGGTTGTTTCAGGACCGCCATCCTATGCCAAATACTGTCGCCTCATATTGTGTCGTGCTGGCGGAGCCACTTCGGCTTGCGTTCGGAGTGGGTCGGTCACTTCTGCTCTGTTCTGCAAGCTTTCTTGGGCGTTGTTTCACCTCCCGGCCTGCCCATGCGCCGCCTGAACCGTCCTGGTCATTGGACCGTGTTCTCTCTTTTTCTCTCTTCTCCTAGGTGTGCTCTTGCTTCTGTCTTCGCCTCGGTTTGTTGTGGCCCCCTTCGGTTCAGGACTGTTTTTCTAAGGCTCTTGTTGGCATTGGTCTCTGGGGGGTCAGGTCAGGGAGCTTCATGCTCTCCTCCAGTGTAGGGGTTTCTACACTTCCGGTCCTGGTGGTCGTTTTGTTCATTTGAAGCCGTCTTCCTTTTCTGGCTAAGAATGAGTCTGCTGCTTTCTGAAAGAGTTCTTGGGTTGTTGATGCTTAGATAGTTCGGCCGGGGTGCATTGTGTTTTTTGTCAGGTTGCTGCTCTTCGCCGTTATTTGCGCGCCACGGCCTCCATGGCAAAGGACGCGCTTTGAGTGGACCCAGATTCCCTTCTTCCCTGTTCCAAGGTGCAAGTCTCCCAGGTTGTCCGCAGGATTATTTGTTCCAGCTAGCCTGCGGTCTATCCCCGTGCCCACGACGTTGATTAGTTCGTGGCTTTGGCTGCTATTTTTGGTATGTCTTGGGCTGACATTCGGGCACAGGGTTTTTGGAGGTCAAACAGGGCATGTGTAGACTTGTGTTGCAGGTTGCAGCCAGTTGTCTAGACTTCAAGTTGAGAAGGAAGTAGCGGCCGCCTCCCGGGTAAGTTCCTTTTCAACTGTACCTATGGTTAGGTAGCTCCGGGGAGCCGAAGGGGCTCTCCACGGAAAACCAGCATTGAATGTAATGAAACTACATTTTCTGGGTGAGACCCGGACGCTCCCGGCATCCCTCCCTCCGGTCGGCGGTTTGTTCGCGTTTTTTATATTCAGCCTTTGAACTGAGGAGGAATAGCTGGCACAGAGGTCTGGGGACCCACCCCTTTCCCCTCCTGGGGAGGGGGGGGTGGGTGGGAGTTGCATGGCGGCTGTGGTGGCGTCATGCTTGTTTGCTTGTTTTCAATTGGGGAGTTCTATTTGCTAGTTCGGCTTTCGGTTTGCAATTTTTTAACCAGATGTAGTTTTTGGAATTCCTATCTTTCTGGGTGCCTTACCTGGTAGATGGCAGACATAGACTGCTTTCAATTACATGGGGGTGTCTCTAAGCCGTTGCTCCTCATGCCTCATCTGAGGGGGCCAGGTTCTGGCACTGGTCTCTAGTAGGCCTAGAATCACATCGATTGACTCTTGCCATGGTCTAATATATGTACATCAGTCCGGTAAAACTCCGGGAAACCTCCAGGTCTCGCCCAGAAAATGGGGTTCCATTATTTTCAACGCTGCTTTTTTTATTTATTTAACAAATTATCCTCATTTACATTCTTTTTCAACATACTCCCTATGCATATTTTACCAAACTAGATGACAATTTTGCTTAATTTATTTAAATAAATTATTATTGTATTAAAATACTGTAACTAATGTATTCTACTCTCGTTACAGGGTGGACTAGTATTTGTGTGTGGTTCCCGGGATGGACTAATGACTGTCACTGGCCGCAAGCACAATACAGATGACATCATTGCCACAGTCTTGGCAGTAGAACCAATGAAATTTATTTACCGAGGTCGTATTGCTGTGTTCTCCCATAGAGTTTTAAGGGATGAAAGAATATGTGTTATAGCTGAACAGAGACCAGATTGCTCAGAAGAGGAGGTTAGTATGTGATATTATTGTACAGTACATTTCAATAATTTTGCTTTAGTCAAATAGATCCTAAAATGAATGATAGAAAAATAATTTGCTTTTCAAATAGTATTGATTAGTTATCTTGGTAGTTATAAACTAATTTTACTGAATGGTAAAACATGTGAAGGAAATTCATTGTAATAGGATGTGTCACTTCTTGTTGCCTTCATTCACCAAAATGATTGTTCTTCGCTATCCTATTGAGTTGCTTCCTAAAACCAGGATCCTACTGACTACTAGATAGGATCTGGCATAGTAAGGGCAAGTTAACACTCTTCACCAGCACTGGATAACTTTTCAAGAATATTCAGTCCCTTCCAGAATATAAACATAATGCATTACAAAAACTTGAGGGACCTTCCTGCTACAGCTAGGCATCAAAGATTCTTTAGTTAACCCTAGTTAACTTTTGAATATCTCACTAAGTCATTACTTCTAGCCACCACTAGTGGCAACATTATTGTCACAACAATTAAAGCCCTTCATCCTAAACTCGCATATTGTCCTGACTTACATCAGCTGCAGGTTGTGTTAGAAAGAGTTATCTTTCTCTTTCATGAAGATAACCATTCTCGATACAGTATTTTGGGCATCAATGCCCACACTCTTTGACCAACCATCAGGATGATCACCCTGCTCGTTTCACCAAGTGGGTTTGGATAAGTCTTGACTCAGTTCTTTGATCTTCATGATGCTTATTGGCACAGGCCTATCCAGTATCCACCCAAGATTCAGGGACTGGTTGAAGTTCCAGGTTGGTTACTTCACCTTTGCACTTTTCCCAGAACTTAATCTTCACAGAATCAACATTTTGGTGTGCCTCAATGACTGGCTCATTTGGACTCATGAGTTGTTATGCAAAAGACCATACCCAGAAGGAAAAGAACCAAACCCAAGATAACAAGAACATACCGATGGGCTGACAAGTCCTACAAAGAGATCGTAAATAACTGTATACCAAGCTAACCAGACCATCCCAGAATCCATCCAAGACACAGTGACTGAGAAGAGCCATGGAGGAGAAACAGATCCATGAGCACCTAAACTAGAGGGGGGCTGAGGACCACCACCAATGTTGGCCCAGAGAGATTACGAGGAGCTGGCTCAGAGAAACCGGCCCTAAGGGAAGCCTACCGCAACCAACAAAAGGCAAGGCCCCAGCCCAAGAAACGAAAGCACGGGCAACCACAACATGCTGGCATGCTTGACTAGTCAACAAGAAGTCAACAACTGCTTTTTGAAGAAGGGAAGAAAACCACTTGGGCAAAGCCTCTGAAACCGGCACTGCAGGTAACATAGCTCCAACACCCAGCACCGAAGGCAAAACATCCAGGCTGCTGTGAACAAGGGGGAAGGGGAGCCCCTCCTGTTCCTCCTGTGAACAGGAGTTAGTGTATAGTTATTTTACAAAGATAAACATGCTTTAATTATAAAAATTGGGTGTCCTAGAAATATGTAAATCAGATCATTTGTATGAATAAACAGAAGACTGTTGTCAGACACAAGAGTTCTCAATTTAAGACACTTTTTGGAATTTAACTTTATTGTGACAATTCATGAATCTGTTTCCTTAAATCCACTGTTCTTGGAATTTGTTTTCCTCATGTTTAGATTCAATGTGGGGAGGTGAAGCTTTGTTGTGTGATGAGTGCTGTCACAGGTATTTGACTAGGGCATGCATCTTGATGGTTTCTTTGATACCAAGTTGTGCCTGGAGTTGTTATTAGTTCGATGAATGGTAGCTATATCTGATCTTGTGTTTGTGGTGGGTTATTTTCCATAAGCATTGCACAATTTCATTATGTTAAGGATGTTGGTCACATGACAAAATTAGCACCACACATGCATCTACTGTACATATTTTGTTTTATTTATTCCATTATTTTGTATTAAAATACTGTGTATAATTTACTGAGTGCTATATTTGTATATATATACTCAATATTTATTTTCTTTCACAGAGCTTCCAGTGGATGTCTAGAGTGCTTCAAGCAGTTGATAGCATCCACCAAGTGGGCATATACTGCTTAGCACTTGTACCACCAAATCACCTTCCTAAAACACCACTTGGAGGGATCCACTTATCAGAAACACGCAAGAAGTTCCTGGAAGGGTCATTGCATCCGGCCAATGTTCTGATGTGCCCGCACACCTGCGTCACCAACCTGCCCAAGCCCCGGGAGGTTCATCACGGTAATTGTAATGATATCCCTGTATATTTTTTAATGTTCAATTTTTGTAGTAGTAATCTATTTAAATTTCAAATGTGCATTATGTAGAAAGAACTTTGCATGTTGACTGCTCCAGTAGAGACTTGTAAGAGCTTATATAATTTCTTTAATTAAAGATGATACCATCAGTAAAAAGTTTTGCAACATCTTCATATACATGCCAAATTTTAAAGCTAATGAAATACTTTTTTTTCTTTTTTTTTTGTATACTTTCTGCAATAAACACGGTGACACATCATGTGTATACTCAAACTAATATTTGGTAAGCTAACTATTGAGAACTCTTGTTTAGAATTCTGAATGTTGCACATGAAGTAGTCAGACTGTTAGGAGGTTCTCCTTCCAGTTTTTTCTTTAACTTAACTCAGCTTTCATCTTCTTAAATTCATTTACTTTAGCTTAGTTTGCTAACCTGATTGATTGTTTATATTGTAGTCCTGTTTTCTGGCATTCACTCACTTTCAAAACATAGTGCAGTCTTATATTGATTACATCTACATCCAAATTTTTTTTAATAATTTCATAAATTCATTAGCTTAGAATTTTCATTTGATTTGCAAGCTGTATTGATTGCGAATCTTAAAGTTGGTTTGACCAGCTTGGAGTAGCATCAAGCAGATCAAATTTAAAACATTCTTCCAAGAATTTTGTGTGATGAGAGAAGTTTGGTAGATTGAATAGTGAGGTGACATCAACATCCAAGGACAGACATATGTTTAACCATTGCTCATTAAAACAAATTTAGAGAATGTTTAGATAACTATGTAATATATTATGTTGAATCTCCCAGAAGGAATATAATACTTTGTCCATGCTGGTCTTTAGTCATGCAGCCTTATTTAGAAGTGGAATTATTTTTGACTTTACTGAATTCTCACTCTACAAAACATAAGATGATGACCAAACCACACACCAGAAGATGAAGAAACGACAACATTTCGGTCCCTCCTGTACCATTATCAAGTTGTATATTTCAGCCAAGACATATTGATATGCCCCATCATTATATGGCTCTGTGATACTTTAATATAATGTTGTCTTATTTTAAAATTGTGTATACAGTTTTTAAAGGGACCGAGCCACTTATTCTGTATTTTCTGTGGGGAGCCCTGTCGGCTCCCTGAAGCTACCCAAACTGCCATGTGCCATATTAGTTGATGTCATCAATACCTGAAGTTGTGTGTGCCTACCAGAGACCAGAGCCAGAACCTGGTCCGCTCAGAGAGGTGCATGGAGCAATGGCTATATGAGCACTCTACATTTAGAGTTTGTCATGTCTTCCATCGACTGGGATGCCACCAGAAAGGTAGGCGAAAAAATACGAACCATGTGTGGCCTCTGGTATGCTGGGCTGCATGCGCCAAGGGTTACCTTCCTTAGGTGCCTGGTAAGTACTTCCTTTGCATTCTTGGGTTATCTTCCCTGGGACATTTGGGTCTCACTCCCGTTTGAAGGCTTCGTCGCTTGGTGGTGTTCTCGCCCTTGGGGTATGTCGGGGGTCTTGGGCTTCCCGTCTTGCCCTGGGTAGGGAGTATGTTTTGAATTGGGTGGGGCGCACTGCGGTGGCTGACGATTCTCTCTGGCGGGCAGTTTGTTTGTGTGTGTTACTTTGGGGGCTTTCGTTTTGTTTAGTTTTTAGCATATTCGCTTGCTATTGGCAGAGGGTGAGGTCTGTTTAACTTCCCATTAGGCCTACCTAGGTTGTGTTGGGGTGGTCCTCTGTTGCCCTGAGGTTTCACGGCATCTTCTGGTTGTCAGTTTGCCTTTCAACAGAGTTTACTGGCTTAGCTAGCCCAGTGCCTGGGCTTCCCATAGGGCTAACATACCCTATGAGCCCCTGGAAAACCCTGTTGGCTCGGGGGTACCATAGATGCATCTTCCTAGCCCTGCCTTGCCTTGTGCGATGCTGAAGGTTGTTCGTTGCCACTGCCTCATGGTGACAATCACCATGAGGCAGTTATGTTGCCTGTTGAGTCAGTGACACCTATGACCTTGAGCCTTGCAGGATTTGTTCTCCGCTTGTTATTCAGTTTACCCATTCCTTGTCTGTGGATGTTAGGGGTCAGGCAGCAGCTTCATTGCATACTAGGTTTTCTTGCAACACGCCAGGTTGGTTGCCCAGTTGGTAGCCCTGGAGCTGCCCTGCTTGGTTTTTAGGGTCCAGGTTTAAGGGCGTTGGTTCTTTCCACCGTGGTTCAGTCCATGCCCTTGCTTCCTTCCCAGGTGGGGTGTTGGTCACCCTGCTCCTTTCCGCTGCTTCCAGCTAACAAACGTCTGAGGGTTTCAGGGTCGGGGCTGGGGTTCACTTGGGATGAGGCTCGGGTAGCTTCAGGAATTGCCCCTTCTGATCCGGGGATAGAGGTTGAGCCTGATTTCCCAGCCGAGGCTTCAGTGTCGATCCAGCAGGCTCCTTTCCTTGAAGTTTTTCCTTTGGACTCCTCCTTTTTTTTCAAGGACAGTGGGCGGGGATTAGGGTTCTACCCCAGGACCTGTATCAAGGGTTCCCGGGGCTAGGGGGAAAAATACACTTGTTGCCCCTGCTTGAGCCTTTGTGCCTTCTGGGCTGGGGTTGTCGGGGTGGGGGTTTTCGTCTCCTCCTTCCCTTCTGCTTTGGTATACCATATTTGCCGTCGAGAATTACGGTCCCTCGCGTTGGGCGCGTCCATCTTTGGTTTGGATGTTTTGTGGTGGTTTCATTTTGTTTTGGTAGCCATTTTGCTCTTCTGGAAGCACTTCCACGCCCAGCCGCTGGGCGGCGCTGCGGGTTGTATTTACATTTGGCTGTTGAGCATTTGCGCTCACTTTTTTTTTTCCAATTAGTTCATGCGCTCTTCTTGTTATTGGTGACTGTCATTCCCTTTGGTGTGACATATCTCTGGTTTGGGTTATGCCTTCTTTGTTAAGGGTGGGGGAGGTGCACGGACTGCTAAGCTTTTCTGCATCCCTGCTGTGGTGTAGTTGGTTGTTTTGGTACGTTTGTCCAAAAAGGTACGTTGGTTTGTTTGGGTTTTTGCACTTTTGGAGCTCCTGCAGTTCTCAGTTTGTAGCCTTCACTTCAGCCCTGCCTCCTGCATTCCCTTTCTTTCCTCCTCTGCCTCTGGCCAAGTTTTTTTCTTGTCTCTGTGGCTCCTTTGGGTCCTCGGTTTCCTCCCGTGTCCCTTTCTAGGTGTTCTACTCGTCTCGAGATGTCCATCTTTCCCTGCTCTGTCTTGTCTACAATGACACATCTGGATTTATTTTATCTTCCTCAGGAAGTTTTAGGTCTTGGGATTCCTTTCAATCCCCTTGGTAAGTGTTGTTTGCTTTCACTCCATTCTTCTGGATGCCTGTGGGCTGCTCCAAGCAACTGCGTGGTAGATCAAGCTGTCACAAGTCAAGCCTGGCCTTGGGCTGGGCTTGGGGAGTAGAACAACTCCCAGAACCCCATCAAGCAGGTATTAAGCAGGTAAGCCTCAGCTGCGATGTGTACTTTCCACAAGTCCCACCATGGTTACGCTCCAGCTGCTGCATGCCAGTTTGTCTTGTATCTTTATATTCAAGGCGTCGTACTGTGTGTGTGTTTCCCTGGGGACGTTTGGGTGGTGACCATGTCTCCCGGTCTTGTGTTTACAGACTGTTGTCGTTGGGTGGTTTTGTTTTTTCTGGGTATCGGTTTTAGGCCCAGTGTCCTTGCCCTGTGTGCTTGTCCGGCTCCCATGCCTCCAGGCCTCGGTATCCTGTTTGTTTTCTGGCCGTTTTAGCCGTGGAGCTCTTTTATCAGGGTTCTTAAAAAAAAAAAGGAATGACATTACTACATTATTCACTGACCACCTACTGAACCTTCGTTCCCGTGGTGCTTCCCTACCTCCATATTTCCGCCAGCAAATGTGGTAGATAGGGCTCACCCTGGGTTCGTTTTCGGGTAAACTAGGGTTCCTTGAATTTGTCTTTTCGGAGGTTTTCTTTCTCTCGGATTCCCTTTAAGGGATTTGGGAGGCCCTTGGCATATGCCTCCAGCGAGACCGGGATTCACCTCTGTGTTAGTTCCGGTTTTCTTTAGGTTCGATTCCTATTCTCCTGATATGAGGCCGTTCAAGGTTCTGGTGCCTTCCTGGCCGGCAGCCTGCTTTGTTGACTGGTTGGTGTGGGTTCCTGGCCGGTTTGTGTGTCTGCTAGATAAGGATCTGGTTCTTTCCCAGCTTGCTTGGTTTGGGTTCCTGGTGAATTGGCGGAAGTCCCAGTTGGTTCCTTCTCAGGTTCAGACTTGGCTGGGCCTTATGTGGGATTCACGGATTGCATCCTTCTCGCTCCCTTCTGTGGCGTTGTTCCGGTTGCAGTCCCGCCTTCAGCTGTTTTTGGGGGACCCAAGTCACTTTGCAGTTGCTCTGGCAGTTGTGCAGGACCCTGGACTTTGCCATTCTGGTTTCCCCGCTTGGTAGTGTTTGGCTTCGGATGCTGTTCTAGTATCTTTGGGGCAGCCCCCTTTTGCTTCTCTCGTGACCTCTGGGTCACGAGAGAAGGGTGACCTCTGGGTTACCCTGGTGTCTTTACATCGGGTGCCGAGTCACTGCCTTCTTTTTCGGGGGTTTTGGGGTTCGGTGCTGTGGCGCCTTTTCCTTCACAATGCTAGATGTGTTCGCTGATGCCTCGTCCCTTGGCTGGGGCTTTGTGACCAGTGCTCACCAGGCTGGCCAGGGTCGTTGGGTTCCATCCTTCCGTTGAACTCACAGCATGGTGCGGGAGCTGGCGGATGCGTGGCTGGCGTTGCAGTGGATGCGGCTTTCTTGAAACTTTCAGATCCGGCTCCATTTGGATTGCACCTCTGTGGTTCATTGTCTCAACTAGGGAGAATCTCTGCAGTCCATGGCTCTTTGGGGATGGTCACTTCGAGTGGCTCTTCTGCCGAGTTTTCAGGGTTTAGCTCTCTGCACCGTTCACATTCAGGGCGTGTCCAACATCCTGGCAGATGGCCTGTTGTGCCGTCCACTT